GTATGTATGTATGTATGTATGTATGTATGTATGTATGTATGTATGTATGTATGTATGTATGTATGTATGTATGTATGTATGTATGTATATACATTGTGTGTACATATGTGTGTGTGTGTGTGTGTGTGTGTATATATTTTTTTTTTCACTTGTTTATCATTAATATATTATATAAATTTGACATATTCTGATTTATATGAACACCCTTTGTATCAATTAGAATTATGCAATTTTTTATATAATTTCTTTTTAAAACAATCAAATAGATGACATTAATTGATGAACATTTTTCTTTAAATTAAAATTATTCAATACTAAGATCTTATCCGCAAATTAATGCCATCTATATTTGATTATAAACATATATCAGCTTGATTATTGTTTATTGTTAATTTCTTTTGTTTTACAAAAAATTCTGTTATATTATTTCCAATATTTTATATGAATATATAAAATTATTAATTAATCTTTTATAAAGAATTAAAATGCTCACATGTGGAACAGCATTCTCTTTTAATCTTACATATACCAAAGATGAACGGTCTATATATTCTTCCTTGAAATGAAGACAACATAGGCGACTTGACCTACCAATAATTTTGTTTTCAAGTTGCAATATCCTTATCCATTCTGCTCTTCTAATAGGATCAGAAGGAAATCTACAAAAAGTGCTACTGTACATAAATTATATAAAAATTATATAAAAGATAAATATAATGTAATTTCGATTACGTTTGTGTCCAATCATAGCAAGGATGTTATTTTTAAAAGATAATATATAACTTAAAAAAAAAGTATGACATTGAATGATGAATTATGCAAAGTTATTTTATTAAATTTAATTAAGTTAATTTTTAATTAACTATTTTTCAATTGTGTTGATGTACTCTGTGCTGTACTCACGAGTGAAACGTTATTCTCATTATTTTTTCCAATTCTACCTGTGCTGCAGGTTTTTTCTTAATGTCGGTAGTATTTTCACATCCATTAGCAACGCAACGGGGCATCTTTTTCCTGTAAAAAACATTCAAATAATCAAATTATTTTGTTTACTAATTTATTTCGTTTCACATGATAGACCGCTTTACTCTGCGTATACTGTCAAAATATACATATAGGAAAAATACGGGCTGCAATGGAGAAAGCAGCTTCGTAATCGTGTAAAATTCTTCAACATGATTGGTTGTTGACCTTAAGTTCCTCACTGAACTTTAAATGTGTAATGTCCATTTCTACTAATGTAGATAATCTTTAATTTCAGTTTTTAACTTGCTTTTCTTTTTTTTTCTATTCGAAAAATTAGAAAAATTAGAAAAATTAAAAAATAGATTTAAACCGAGATTAAAAATTAATTACACTGATAGAAATACGGATATAGTATGTATATACGTACGCCGCTACCAGCTTCGCCTTCACGAGCCTCTTCCATGCGCTTACCGGGCGCTGGAGGGAGAAAACTTGACAAAATCGGCAACGCCCTGTAAACCAATCATATTAAAGAATCTTACACAGTTGTAAAGCTGCTCTTTCTCTATTGGCTGCTGCATGTAGCCACTCTTATAATATTGATATTACACCTTCTGACTAAAATTGAGGTCCAAGTTGATAGAACAAGAGAGTAATGTTCTGTCCTTCTGTTTCTATATGATAGAGCGAGAGAGAGAGCAATATCTTATAGCCTTCTTTATCATATACTTTCGAAAACTAAAGAATAGAAGATACGACACATTTATCGTCTAGTTCCATCTAAGGGAAGAGGCACATCCAGTATGAGATCTATGATCAAGTGAATTATAACTCAATAGGCGGTATATTTCATAATCAATTCTTCTATTTAAGCCAGTATTCATAATCTGTTGTTATATTTAAGATCGTCTTAAGTACGTTTATACGGTTACCTTATTGGTTGAAGTATCATCTTAAGATGATATCGGCTTTAAATAGAAGAATTGATATGAGAATTGATTATGAATACCGCCTATTGAGTCAGAGTTGGTTTATGGAGGCCGTAATCCATAAATTAATTTATGCCATAACCGTAAAAAAATTGACGAATCATATCAATTATTCTTCTATAATTCGATTGTGATTGGTCAATAAGTTAACAGATTACGGCCTCCATAAACCAACTCTTATAATTTATCTCAATCATAGATTTCATACTATGAATACTATGAATACTATGAATACCGCCCTAAGATTGTCTTGAAATTATAATTTCAATCAATAAGGAACGGTCTTTCATTTCTGATCGTATTCAAAAATGGACTACTTGACAAATGTGATTGGTCAATTCCAATGGAATAATCGACCGATTAGGGCTGCGTTCCGATATTCACTGCCAGTCCTAAAAATATATAGTTCAGGCACGTATATTAGTATCGGTCCACAATAAGTGATTTAAGTTTTAAGAAGTAAGAAATTGGCCAATCATAATCGAATATGAAAAGAATAATCGCTTATGATAGGTCAATTTCTTACGGCTTAAAGATTAAATACCTATTGTGGACCGAAACATAGATTTTTCAGTACTTGCAGTGAATATTAGAACGTAGCCTACGTTAATCACAGATGGTGATACTAGATTTAAAGACCTCTTTCATCAACCTTAAGCTAATTGTCAATTAATTTAATCATCAATTTTGCCAATATTTAAAAACTAAATAGCATAGAAAGAAAATATCCTCATTTATGTTGTTTTATATTTTGACTTTTAATAATTTTCACTTACATTAATTATCAGATATTACTTACAATTTCACTAGGTATAACAGAAAAAGAATATTAAGTTAAAGCACACTGACAAGTTTAATCTGCTGTTGACATTTCCGATTTAATCATCAGTTAACTTAATCGGAGATTGGTGAAAGAGCTTCTAAAATTGCTGCATGTCGACGCGTCAGCGTCATCTAAAGATTCGTTTTCGAATTTCATTCATTCATAATTATAGATGGTCCTTCTTGTCCGATTCTCATAGTTAACGTTCGTTTGTCACGCTTTCCAGTAATTGTTTACAAAACCGAGTAGACTAATTAAAAAGTTGAGATAATATTTTTTTATTCATAGCAAGATGATCAACGATGACATTATGCGTAATTGGGAGATTAATTAAAGCGTTACATTTATGTGTATATTTCTGCTGGACGCACAATGTTTTGCACTTTTAATAGGTTTTGTTTCGGTTGACATGCCAAATAATATGTTTAACAGTCGAGATTTTATGTCTCACGTTCTTCCCGTACAGATCTATGTGTTATGCTTCACATGTTTATGACCGAGAAATAAAACGACATACTTTCTTCGACCGATGTTGCAAGGTAAAATTAATCTTCAGCTTGAAGTTTATGATTAATGACTAATTAATTTCTTGTATGACTAATTAATTATTGTTTATTTTTAAGATAACATTGCTGTCGATGAGCTGCTTGCTCATTGATATATTGGTGGAGAAAATTAGAGAGATCGGTTAAACATGGACCAGATTATTGACATAGATGACGTTGAGACTGGAATGCGCTCTTCCAAGAGTTCGGCGATACCTTTCAGTTGTATCAGCTCGAACTCGATATGCTATGTCGCAATCACAGTCGCGACTTTGGCCTTTCTTGGTACCATTGTCTTTGTCTGCAGGGACTATATCAAGCTACTTCTCTATTGGATAGAGCATCAGAATGCTTGGATTATCGCCGTGATTTTTATAGGCCTGTTTACAGTGGTATCATTTCCGATCGTGATCGGTTACTTGTTCCTCATTGTTGCCAGTGGCTATCTATTTGGAGTAGTGCGTGGCATGGCGATTGTCATACTTTCTGCTAATCTTGGAATAGCGATAGCCCATGTTACTTTGGGCTTGCTGTCCACTAGATTGCCAATAGGTGCCCTTCTTCAAAGTGACACAGCGAGAGCAATACTTCGCGTAATATCTGGGCCCCAGGCCTTCAAGATCGTACTGTTTGCACGGCTCACTCCGATTCCGTTCGGTCTTCAGAACACTATTTTTGCAGTATGTATCTCGGCATAATGTTTGCTATATACAGAATGTTGTTTATTCTCCTGCATATAATTCGCGACAATGTTGTGTACATTTATGTATTGTATATATGATTAGGTCAGTAACATAGGTGGTTTTCATTACCACATAGCCAGTGCAATAGGTTTGCTGCCTGCGCAACTGGTCAACGTTTATCTGGGTAGTAGTCTGAGATCGATGCAGGACGTATTAGAGGACAGATCCACAGCAGCGACCGGTTATGTAGTGTTCTGCTTCCAGGTAAGTTGTACAATTCCGTAAATTTTCAGAAATTGAATGATGACCGAAATAATAATTTTTTTGTTGCAGATATTAATAGGAGTATCGTTGATGGTTTATATTGTACAGAAAGCACGAAAGGAGCTTCAGTTGACCTTGTTTGAAGCCGATCTCGCGTCCATGGCGAATTCCCCGCATTACATTTTGGACGGTTTACCAGATTCCAAAATAATCTTAACAAATCTAATTGCGTAATTTTTTCCCTGCATATCATAAGCATTTAAATAATTCGTAATTTTATTGCGACAGCTCTGATTTCTCCTTCTCCATAATTGTTATATTCTTAGTCTTCTGTGTATCTTCCAGAAATGTATTTTGCTAATATTTATCAGCAATGTTTTTGGAAATATGGTCTTCTGAATACGACGTTATAACAGGAATCTGTTATCAGAATTAATGCGTATTGAGTCTTACCAAAGCTAAGCGGTAATTTTAGTACCGAAAAAGACTCGTAAAGCATGCGTGTATATTTTGGTTTAAAAACAAAAAATGAAAGGAACGAGGGGATGACACGAAATTGCGAACCCAGTATATAAAGCTTTCTTGCAATAAGAGCACACTATAATTTATATATCGTTCACACACACACACACACACACACACACACACACACACACACACACTTTAACATTAATAATAGAGACTGAAACTTTACATTTATACCTTTTGTCTTCAATCAATTGTTTCTCTCTCTGTTCTTTATAGTCCGAAATCTGTTGTTAACGATATATTAATGTTCGTGCATTTGTCTGTTATTTTTTTCTCGTGCAATATATTCCATTTTTGTATATACATTATATATTGTAAAAAGATATACATTATATCTATATGATATAATTCTGGAAGGTGAATGCGTCTCGGTGTTGCAGAAAAAAAGAAACGAATAATAAATTTGGCATTCTTTAACCGAGCTTGCGTGTGTAAATAAATTCCAAAACTCATAGCTTCCTTTTCTCTCTGTCGTGTACTCTTGTAAACATTTATTATCTGACTAGAACTTCGGATATATGTATATCGACGTCTCGTTTCGCTCGCGTCCCGAAGCTCGAAGAATTTCCCGTGTACAGCTGATACTCGTTCTTCCAGCTTCGAGACTAATATATATCGTATATATGTATATCGGAGGAATGACGGCGGCGGCGACATTGTCTCGTTTTTATTCTTGCGTACATTTTCGTTCCTATTCTTTACATATTTTTTTCTATATATTCTTCGTTCACTTTTTTCTTTTTTTTTACAATTCCGTTATCTAACTTAGCACAACTGGAATCACATTATAAAAATCGTCTCGACGTTCCTTACATTTTATATATATGTACAAAGCTATATACGCGGCCGGATATACTTAGCAGCTAGGTGGCTTTCCTTTGTCTCTCTTATGCTTTATAATATACATATAATTACGTCATTCTCGCATACAACAATTCTTTTACCAATAATTTTTTAAGCTCGCGAAGTTAATTACGATGTATGTACATGTCGGCCAGCAATGCTACAAAGTGCGACGCACCGAATTATGATACAGAAACAGATCGTGACTATCATCGTGGATATTTACACACTACAGAAAAACTGAGTTTTCCAAATTTACTTATATGTGAGTATTCCAGTGTGGGTGATCGGTTGAAAGCCTTTGGAGAGGTCGAAAATGTGAGTTGATTATTATTAAATTATCGACGCTTGCAAAATACACTTTCAAATTCCATATCTCATCATTAGAAGGCATTTCCGGTGAATGAACTTATTCTTAGATTAACAAATGATGAACAAAAGACGTGGGATACAATAGAGCTATTAAATCTAAGAAAAGATCATTTTACAAGAGAAAATAGATGTTTCATCCAACTCGACTGAAATATATATTGTAAAATATTTGTCGCTTTTAATAACGTGATAAGAAAGTAATTATTTAATTGAAAGAGACAAGAAAATATCTATACTTTAATTAATCATTAATATTTAAATAGGGCAATTCCCATGTTAATTAATTTAAAATTATGATTAAAGCAATTTACAAAATTAATTACAATTTAAGATCATAATTAATTAAAGAAAGACATTTTTTTATGTGTAATTAATTATATTTTCTATGTCACGCAAAGTCACTTCTTTCATTAGGCTTCAGTTTAAACTCCATAATTTGTTGAATTTAGCAAAGCTATCTATTTCTTGGCTTATATATCTTTTAGTAAAAATGGTTTATATCCGATGACGTCTAGTTGCATAAAACATTTTGCAAGCATTAAATCGCGATATTTTATAAGAGCTTTAGTCCACTATCATCCTTATCCTCAGTTAATTCAATGAATATATTATATCAGAAACATAATAATAATAATAATAATAATAATAATAATAATAATAATAATAATAATAATAATATAATAATAATAACAACAACAACAACTTTATGGCCGCGCGTTATAAACATATAGATAGAACAGATTATATATAAAATCGATCTCTAGTTTACTTACGTATCAGCTAACCAGTCCGTTAGAAAGCTATCGATATCACAAAGTTCCGAGGGGTCGATCTCAAATTGTACATGTAGTGTAGATAAGTATAAATAACGGAGTCTTGAAAAACTGCTCAAGTTCATAAAAGAAAAGAAAGCTCTAAAAAGTTCTAATTAAACAAGCGTGTCGTAACGAAGACGAAATAAATAAAATCGCGAGAAGCAGTTCTATTAAATTCGAAATATGCTGCATTTTTTCCCCTCGTGATTAGCATGATGTATTGAAAGTAGAAAATAAAAAATCACGTGGTGACGAAGCTTGTCGTAAGTCTACAAAAATAAAGGTTGCTTTGCAAATTGTAATGTAGAAATTATTGTCGAACGGCAAGAATAAAAAAAGAAATACGAACAGAAAACATTCCATCATCGAAGTCTTGCGACCCGCTCACTGCATCATTATAACGGTAGAAGATCAATCAAATTCGCCCGCGGCTGTGTTAACGATTCCGGGAAGAATTCCGCAAGTTTATTGTAGAGCTCAGTTCGCAAATTATGTACATCACGCGCGTTTATGCACTGTTGTGTTGCCGCGCCGGCCGTCAATTCGTTCAGGATAGTGTTCGAGTGAGAGGCGTCTTCTAAGGAATTATTCTGTTTCCGGAACAAGATCGATGTCAAGAGTTGAAACTACACAGAAAAGATGGTCACTAGCGATCAGCAAGTGAAGCAATATTACGATTTAGCGATCAGTAGAGTCGTTGTGATAGTAAATATAAAAATAAATAATTAAAATATATATGAATATACCTCTTTCGTTTGTTGCATGTCACTATGGTCGATAATCTCGAAAATTTTTGTCTGTAGATATTCGAGAGCTTCTATACTGTTGCTCAGAGCAAGCTCCCTGAATTTATGCTTTCTAATGATCAATTTGCACTTTTTCAGAATCTGTTCAGCTGTGGGTCGACGTAATTCCAATTGCCAAAAGTCGTCGAGTCTCAGATTTGGAAGGCAAGATCTACCCGGGTTGCCACCAAACAGAAAATGAACCTAACAATGATTTATAAAACATTGAATCATTGAAATCTATCATCAAACACATTTGTCTAAAAGAACTTTAAAGGGAAACACACACACACACACACACACACACACACACACACACACACACACACACACACACAACAAATAAAATTAATTTAATTAATAATAACAGATATATATCACGATTTACATACATACTTTTCTTGTATGGTCATAAACAAGTTGATGCGCGAATCGCGGGCACGGTTCGTAATCTTGCATTTTGCTCCAGTATTTTTCACCAACATTCTCATTACGATATACACAAGACCATTTGCTATTTTGAATATTGTACACCCAAAAGGAATTTTGCACATTGTCGTCTCTTTTATCCTTATCTTTACTCAAACCCTAAAAAATTTTATTTTTTATAAAGTTACGTAATTAAACAGAAAATAGTAATAACGAACAATACTAGACAGGTAGGATCTTAGGCGCTTAATAATTTATAATCTTATACAATTGTAATATTTCATATAAAGAAAATCATTGTTATAATAATTATAAATTTTATATATAAATTAATTACGCTTCGCATTAACGATCACTATAAGAAATACAAACCGATAGAACGTAAATCTCGCCGAGTTCGGGATCGATAGTCGCTCTCTGCGTGAATCCGGCTGCAGGAACATGATTGGAATCCTTTGTCGTGCCGAACTCATTGTAACTTATATATTCGACATGCTGCGTATCGACTTCGTAAGTAAAGAAATCGCTTAGATATTCTTTACCTCTCTGACCAGCAAATATATACAATTTTCTGGATCGCTGGAATAAATTTCTGATTTGCAAATGTCTCGTTTCACATTTGTAAATTCATTATTTCGCATTAAAGAAATAAAATCGAAGATGAGATACCAACTGGATGAAACAACATTGAATGACCAGCGCGGGATCTGTAAATCGGCATATCTCTCGAACACGGCTTGTCGGCGATATCACAGGCGAGTCTAATCCATGTGCCGGTTGGTACATGATAAGAATACAATCCCGAAAAATGCGGTTCCGGTATTAAACCATGTTCGTCGGCACTGCACAAGTTGGAAAAACAACATTGAGAAACACAGATATGTAAAAGATTTCAAAATAGTGTGTGAAATATTATTAAAAGATAAACAACACACAATCACATCACTTTTATTCTCTTCTAACTTACCTACTCGGATGAGTCAATACTCGTCCACCAAAAACATAAATAGTTCGCTTCTCCACGTCCATCGACATCTGATGATCAAATACGAGTGGTGGTCCGCCCATCGTTCCTGTATCCTCCGAAATCTGCGTCCACTTGTTCGACTCGATGTCGTAAACGTAAAAGTCGCTCTTCAGATTCTCACAAGTACGATACTGCGTGTCCAAGTACCTACCCAATGTAAAGAGCTGCCGTCTTTGTGGATCTAAGCACATCTTGTGGCATGAACGTGCACTCGGTCCTCCCTAAGAATAGATTATGATTATATGCGAAATATCAAATAAAACAGATACGAAAATGTGATTTGATAATTTGTATCTAAATAAAATGTATCTAGTTTCCAAGTCGCGACACGAAGAAATGTCTAAAATATAATTATGAAATCGTTTATTCATCGACATCCGTCGTTTATTATTTCACAAAAAAGAAAAACTCATTAGCAGCTCTCCATTTTTTTTTAAAACATTATTCGATATCTTCATTTCAAGGAAAAAATCTTATTGAATTAACGATTATCGAATGTATTATTTATACACTATCACAACAAAAACATGGATGCAATATAATAATGAAGAAAATAAAAACTTAATTGTATATTATCCTGACGTGTCAGACTATCTCATAGCATTGAATCAAATACTACCGACCACTGCTTCAGTGTCCTTGCATATAAGCGTCCACTTGCCGGCCTCTATGTCGTACGACCACAAATCAGAAAGATCCTGGTTACCGTCCCATCCACCAAAGAGATACAGTACTTCAGCCGTGGGATCAAGCACCATCTGATGACCGCCCCGCATCCCAGGCTTGGGCTCGCCGGATGATAATTTTGTCCAAATTGCTCTATAAGTTTGAGCATTGATATAATCGTTTAAGAGTCCCACTAAAAAGCGGATTTAACAATATATGAGCATCATGGACATTTATGAAATGGATATGAATTAAACGGATCACGAATCGACGTGATCGAATCACGTTGAACTTACTCGTGAGTGCGTTGCTGATGAAACGCTCTGCCTGCAAATGATCACCTTTAGTAACTAGGAGATCATACAGTGTCGACAATCGCGGATCCTCCAGTGGGACTCCAGTGACCCTCTGCAGAGTCTCGACGATTTCAGGTTGCTCCATTTGACGGAAATGTTTCATGCACAGTCTTATTATCTCCTTTTGCCGATACTACAATACAATTCGTCCATTAGTCTCCTCTTACAATTCTTTGTATTTTTACTCAACAATACAACTTACCATGTTAAACCACTCGAGACAGGGCCTTACAATCTTTGGATCATTGATACCAGTCAATCTAATGTGCCATATAGAAAAATTAAAACTGGGACCCCATGATTGCAACGGAAGAACCTTTATGTATCGAATAGGAAAATAATTTCCTTCATTTCCCAAAACATGTTTAAGATCAAACGTTTCTGGTATGGAATCATTCCTTAGTCCACTAAAATAAACAAGATGTAAAAAAAAAGATTTAATGTAGAGAGAATAATCATCAATATAAATAATAAATACCTTTCGAGAAGTTCCATCATATTCTCAGGCTCTAATCCTCCATAGATCTTGAACTTCTTTATGTTGCACACGTGAGTTTTTTCATATTTACCAAAGGTGATATATTTGACGACAGAAGGACATTGGAGCTTTAGAATGAGATACTGAAACGTACAATCAATGAGTAAGTATCGCAATGAGAATGCCATGTACGATAAATACCTGTGGGTGATTGTCAATGTCAGAGGACCAACGTGAGGACTGATCCGATGGTATATCGACGATGATATTTCTGAAAAAAAAACGTGCGGTATACATGACTGGCGACGAATAAGTTTCGTTATCACGATTTTAATGCGCATATTTATTCCACATTGCACATAAAGATCGTCCTTATTTTTAGGTTAGGAAACTGCCACTCGTCGACGAAGAAGTTCCGGCAGTTTTCGATGATACAACAACATATATATAATGATATATAAATATTAGGAGCACTCACTCGGGTAAATAACAGGAAGAATAACTGGAGCACTTGTAGATTCGATACTCCAACACTTTTTGAAAATCACCACTCTTACTCGACGCCATGTTACACAAGTGACATAACCTTCAATGTTTAGTGGTATACTCGCCAAAGTTGAGTTCGACTAATCGATTATTCGAACTCGAATTTCGGGAAAAGGAAAAGGCTCTTTGAAGAAGGAGTCGAAGATTCACATTATCCAATTGATCAGATTTTAATCTCTGTTTAGAGATAAGAATCTCACTACTCGGGACTAAAGTGAATTATAATATCGCTATCGGAGCTGATTGGTATCATATTGTATCTTAAATTTTCCCTCTCGAGTGAGGGAAACGTATCCAATCGAACGATTCCGTAATCTCACTTACGATGAATCGCCCCGTCCCGATTGGCGGGAATCCTAATTTCCAAATCGTTAGCCCCACCCCTCGAAAATTCAATGCGTGGCCTGATTTTTGCGCGAACCTGTACATACCACTGACGTCTGTGGCGTCTCGGTCGTACACGTGCGCAGATTTGTCAATTAATAATGATGGAGGTAGATGGCGGTTTGAAGGAAGCGGACGTGTTCGAGTGGTGTCTGACGGTTTTTTAGTGTTTTATACCCTCGAAATAGGTAAATCAGCTCTTTTAAGAGCTCAAAGGATATATATCAAAGCGTAGTAGTAGGATATAATAAGGTACGTGAATAATATAAGTGCAATATAGAAGAAATAAGGGATTACGAGGAGCCCCCGGGTGAGGGGCAGAGCGAGGAGAGAAGAGGAAGTATAAGTCTGACAATAAGAGAGAATGAGTCGCTTAAGAGAACAGTAAGGAGACTCGAGGCAAGATTGAATATGGAAATGAACGAAGAAAGCAAT